CGGTCTGGGGGTTTTTTTGGTTTTTTTTTTTTGTTTTTTTTTTTTCACTCGAGACGTTTGGCTGGAAGAGAAAAGTCCTGACAATGTGTCCTTAAAGTCACTGTTAACACCCACCGCTTCTCAGCTGGGGAAGGAGCCTCCTCTTCCTCCAATGGGGAAATTAACTGGAAAACCAAGTTTTTCCGACATCCATACCCAGCTGCGCCTCTGAGTAGCGTCAGCTGAAAAAAAACCCGAAGAAACGCTGAATTTCATTCGCGAAAGAAAACATTCCACTTGCAGAAATGTCAACATGTTTTGTTTCAACATCTTCTTAGGGTATTTTTGGTATTTTCAACTTTTCATTTTAAGATGGCTTTTTTTTTTTTCATTTGAAAAGTAATCTACTATTCTCGTGCTTTTTGGGTTTTTTTAAACACCCACCAAAAGAAAACGCTGACAGTATAATGGCTTTAACAAAATGTGTGATCTGCAGTAAAATAATTAGATTATATTGTATAAATTGTTTTGCTGTGCCCCCAAATGAGATCTTTCCTGCTTTGATTTGACTGGAAAAACCTTGAAGACTTTCTGTTCTTTTTTAACATTGATCTCGCCGCCCCCCCCCCCCAAAGTTTCGTTTACTTACTGAGCCAAAAAAGGGCATTTTTCACACTGGGCGGGTAGTATCTGCACTTGTGGTTTGCCGTGTTTTGCCCCGACTCGGCCACCTCCTCCATCCAGGGAGCTCGCGTACCTTCCCTCTCCCTGTCTGCCCTCTGCCTTGCCCACATCAGTCGCTGCAAGACTCAAAATTGGGCAAAAAATAGAGGGGAATGTGGTTTTCTTCTCCGTTATTTTTTTTCTTTTTTCATTAAAAAAATAATAATTCCTAATTCACTTTACTTAAAGGCAAGCAAATGTGTTTTTTCCTATAATATAAAATTAATAATGATAATATAAATATAAAAATAGTAGGATAATCTAGAATGATAATATAAAAAGGGCCACTGGCTAACCCCAAACCGGCATCAGACTGTCCACCCTTCATCTGCTTCTGCCTGAAGAAAACAAACCAAACCTGACAGCAGCTACAAAAAAAAACACACCAAAAGGAGGTTACCAGCCCTGCAAAACACGCAGAACAAGCGAGAGGAGCAGGAGCTCTGCTCCTCTCCCGTCCTCTTCCCCCTGCCCCGGGGAGGCAAAAACAAGAGGGGAAAAAGTCTCGCTCTGGCAGCATGGGCACAAAAATATTGCTGAGGTGAAAAAGAAAGGCGTGGGGACCTTTCGTCCTTGTCACGGGGTCACGTTCCAGCCCCAAGCCGCCGCCGCGGCAGGGGAGCACGGCCCGGGTCTCGGCGGGCTTTGGAGCCGGCGTCGGAGAAGGAATATGGAAGCGTGGCAGGTTCAAAGGAATGGATGGGTGGAGAGGACCAGGGCGAAATACGGAGGCTGTCCCGCAGTCGGCACGCTTCCCAAAACGGCTTCCCTTCTGCAGGACGCCGCCAGCCTCCCCGGGCCTGAGCCGCAGTCAGGATGCGATCGTCCCACCGAACTCGCCGCCCTCCGCAAGGAGCCGACGCCTGATCCCGCGCGTCCGTCTCCGACCGAAACACACTCGAGTTAAACAGATAAAGCTGGTTTGCCTTTTTTTTTCGGCTCTCGCCCCCCCCCAAAACCAGGGGTTCAGCTGCGCATCGGCGGGATGCGGCTGCCCTGCGCGTTGCCGCCGGGGAGGGGGCAGCTCTGCCCGTTCCCCTCGCTGGGGAGCGGGGTTTGGGGGAACCCCTCTGCGCCCCCCCCCTTCCCCAGCTGGGCCTGGCTGCGTGCACCCTCCCCGTCTTAATTAACCTCGCTCAGCCGCACGTTCTCCTCAAGCAAAGGGCACAAGCGGTTCATGGGGACCACCTCCCAGGGCTCGGGGCTGGAAGGGGGGGGAGTTTTCCAGCTCTGGATTTTGGGAAAGGGAACGTTGCAGCTGCGGGCAGCACCTCACGCGGTGGTCCACCGCGGCCGGTGACACCGCTACTGGTGTCAACGCGGCCGAGGACGCCAGTTCAGGGCCCAGTTAAGCCAAGCTGGTGCTGGTGGCCGGCTCCGGCCGCGCCGGCAGGCTCTGGGTGGAAGCAGGGAGCAACACACCTGGAGGTTTAGCGTTCCCTACCCGCAAAGACGGGCTGTGCCAGTTCAGGCTTTTATACCTGGCCATCCTACCACGCCTGCAGCGGTTTGGAGGAGCCAGCCGGCAGGAACATTAGTTTCGTTCCAATTTTATCCTTGGCCTCACATCTGAGACTTCGAGCAAGGATTCCAGTCGTGGGCAGACGCCCCATTTTGTGTGCTCCAGACGCTACTCCCACAAGGACCGAGCAGCCCTTTACGTGGAGGCCAAAAAACCAACCCTTGCCTCATAAAGCCTTTCTGTCATGACTGGCTCTACCCGGATGGAAACCGGGGACCTGCAAGTGCGGGAAGGTCTCCCTATCCCCCTGCTAGCTGGGCAGGCTGGAAGAGCTCTGCGAGCAGACAACCGTGCCCCGGTGAGCACAGTCATAGCTGCGGTCCTCACTTTCCTTGGGGAGAGATGCTGGAGGTCTGGGACTGACCATACCTAAGTTTTTCCTGCCAGATGTGAAGCCTGGAGTCGATGCCGTAAGCTTGGTAACCTGGTAGACCCCAAACCTTTTTTTTTTTTTTTTTTTTTTTTTCTGGAGCAAAGTGATAAATCGTTCCCATCACAGCTGCCAGCTTCCTGCTGTATTTATTTTATTCTAGTTGGGGACCGGGGATCAGACGAGAAGGCACATGCGCGCGCAGACAAATATAGATATTTATTTATTTTTATTAGTGGATTAGTGGAACAGAGACCTCTACTGGCCCAGCTCAAAGAGCGGCTGCCGAGGTCTGCTGCCGGTGGGATTTCTCGCTCGCCTTCACCTCACCGACTTTGGACATTTCCTCCTGGGTCACAGGCATTTGCTAAGGAAAGCTAAGAAGCAGCCTTTCACGTTTTCCCTTCTTTTTAAAAAATCCAGCATGTAGGGAGTCACTCGGATGCAATTGCTAGCCCACGAATTTGTGACAGTGGTCCATGTCCATGTACTAAGTAAAGGAGCTTGTCTCCTTTAGGAGGGGATGAACCTTGGGCACTGAAGCATGGCAGAGAGTCAGAGGCTTATCGGTACCGGAGGACAAGGCAGCAGGGTGTTTTCATCTATTCCATTGATTTCAGTTGCCTTTTATTCTCTTTCTGTTCTTCCTCCCAGCTGGTTGTGTAGTACTGTGGTGAGGATGGCTTCAGAAACCATCTCTCACGGGCCGGTGCTGTTTAGCGTCTTGCCTCTGCTGTCAGGCAGCTGGATAGATGTTGACTTGTACCTGGGCCATACCCGGGGTCAATAATTGTGGATGCTTATCTTCCTGGGTCGGGGAAAAGTTAATATATAGGCTTTTTTTTCTTGCAAAGCTATCTTTCTCTGGGTGCGAGTAATGCAAAAGAGGGCTTGGTGTTGGCAAACAGGTGGAGCTGGGTGAGCCATGGTTGTGCATGGAGTGTAAGGCCTTTAAATCCTGAAAGCAATGGAGGCAGCAGTTTCACAGCTGAGTCTGTACTGCTCAAAAACTGGCTTAGGCATCCCCTTCCTTCCTCATCCAGCCCACTCATTCCTGCCCCTGGCATTGCTGGTGAAGTTAACAGGAGGAACTGCATCAGAGAATGGATCTGGCAGAGGTTTCCCACCTTCCCTTCTTTGTTGTTGTGTTTTGTTTTGTTTTTTTTTCCCCCAGCTGGATCCATTTCTGTTGTAGTTCATCACACGGCTGCACTAACAACCCGACCAGCACAGTGGGTGGGAATGAGCAAGCTGGCAGCACTACCATGAAATCGCAGCCCGCGAGCTGGTAGCGTCTTCCTCGTGCTTCGCAGTAAAACAAAATCTAAAGCCTTGTGTGGGACAACTGCCGTCCGCCCTACAGTGCTGAGGCTTGCTAGAAGGTGCTGGGCAATCTCTGGTACCGTAGCCCAGGGCTCTGCCTTCCAGCTCTCACCTCACACCTCCAGCCATCGAAATCTGCTCCACAAATTACCTGAGAGATGCTTAGCTAGGGAAAGAGAGATTAGTGCCGATGGCCTGAAGTTTCCAGATTGTCTGCCAGAGGATGTCCATCGCAGAGGTATTACGGAGCGACCTGCTGAGTCACATTTCTCCATTTTTTGCAGGAAAGTACCCTGGCGCACTGGATGCAAAGACAGAGGAAGGTGCAACAGTGGCTTGTGGAGCTGCAGGCCCCGCGTTCTTCATGGCCATCCCTGTGAAAACTGAACCTGCAGCGAGAAGCTCCTGTGATTGCTCCTGTCCCACGGCCAGGTCCCTGCCTTGCTCGCGTACCCCACGGATCGCTGCCAGTCTGTCTCCAGCCGATGCCCCGGTCTGTGGTCTGTGCATAGTGTAGGATGACGGTGAAGGGGAGAGGGCACCGCAGCCAGGCAGACTTTGAGAGGCCCCTGAGCCGAGGGACCCGCGAGAAGGCACAAGCTCTAGCTGTCGCCTGGTAGACAGCCCTTCCCCATGCACGTCTTTGGACAGCTCGGTGGAGCAGGTGCTCTCACTGTACCTTTCCCAACAGACATCTATAGAAAAAGCACTTGCTTGCTTTCAAAAGACACTGGAAGAAGGAAGTTGCTCCACGGCCACCTTTTGTGCCCTTTCTTTCCACCCTCCCCATCTGTTCCCCTTTTACCAGTTGTGGAGTGGTGAGAACACCCACTATTTTGGAGATACCAACTACCTCTTCTGCCTCGGGGACCAAACTTTCTTTTCTCTCTGGAGAGTGTCCCGGGTTCTGCATTCTCGGCTAGCCTGGGTCCTGCTGTCCTTGTGAGCTGTGCCATCCTCCAAAAAAGAGTGAAGGATTCACTGTGTATTGTCCAGAATTCTTCTGGGCAGGAGCTGGAACATGGGGCTCCTTGTTCTTAGCTGAGTGTCCCAGATGCTGAGCACAGAAGCCCATTTTTTTTTCTTTCTTTCTTTCCTTTCATCCTTCCTCTCTCTTTCCAGATCTTTGAGGTCCCAGTGGAAAGAAAAGCTTGACAGACCTTACCAGTTCAGGTCCTAAGAGGTGGAAGGCTCCAAGCCCAGCTCACTTCACCACAGCAGGTTAAGCCCTCTGCTATGCTTGTTTAAAATCTGACCTAAAAGCATGCCCCTGCTTCCTAGAGCTTACTGCACATCACTCCCTCCTGATGGCATTTGCTGCCCCGTCTAATCTGCATTTCTCCTGCCCCATTTATTTGAAATAGCTCTCGGTGCTACCACATCATGTCCTACTTGTCACTCTCACCTTAAAGCGTGGTCTGAAAACAACGATACTGATGGTATTTTACTTAGCTAATCTGTTCAGCACAAATAAGAAGGAGGGTCTCTGGGTTCTTTTCTTGGGCAGCAATGGAGCAGTTTGCATGTCCCTCATTCATAGCCAGTGGCTAGCGAGGGTGTCACAGAGGGCTTTGCTGGCTGACCGTGTTGTGTAGGTGGTTTAATGGGATCTAAGGAACCACTGCTGCTTCTGACAGAAACCTGCCCTGTGTTTCTGATGTCAGTGGCTTGGAATAGGAGAGTTGCACAAGTCTCATATCTTTTGTCTTTATGTTCCAGGTGCTTGGTGGCTTGAACGTCTCCTATCTATCAAAAACCTGAATTCCAGTCTGAGGATCATATTCAAACCCCCTGCTTTTCAGCTAGAATCACAGAATCACAGAATGGTTAGGGTTGGAAAGGACCTTTTCTGAAGGTCATCTAGTCCAACCCCCCTGCAATGAGCAGGGATGTCTTCAACTAGATCAGGTTGCTCAAAGCCCCGTCCAGCCTGACCTTGAATATTTCCAGGTATGGGGCATCTACAACCTCTCTGGGCAACATGTTCCAGCATCTCACCGCTCTCACTGCAAAAAATTTCAGATCCAGGGGAACTTGTAAGTTTGTCTGTCCAGGAGACAGAGGGTTTCTCAAGGACCAGTCCAAGACCCAATGCAGAAATTCCCCAAGGAGAATCACAGACATACTTCTTTCTGCTCTCCATTTAAGGTATGCTTCCTGGTGCTGACTTCTCTAGCAAACATCCAGAAGCACCTTAAAAATAAAACGCCAAAGCGAAAGAAGCCACTGAACAAGCAGACCTTCCATGGGCAAGAGGATGAGAGCGAGCAAGCAAACCACATGTGACAGATGTTAGGCGTGTTGCTGAATGCAGTTCTGGAAGCCGCTCAGATGCTGTGGTCAGGTGGGTGGTTGTTACAAACCTATCTGGGCTAGAAAAGAGAAACATTTTTCTAGCAAATGAAAGCTATCTGGTAGAGAAAGCACTGAGAGGTAATAAACACGCGGCAGGGAACTGCCGTTTGGGAAAAGGCTTTTTGGGGTGAAGCCGCGTCATCGTGGTGCTTTCTAAGTAAGCGCCCCGACACTTCAGAGTTGGGAAGGACAAGACGCGCTCGTGGCAGCGTTACTGAGGCAGGCAACAGGCACGTGAAGGACAGACCTGCCGTACCTCAGAGTACAAACTGGGCCCTACTATCACCACAGCCTGCTTTTAACTGAACACCCAGATACTTCTGAGGGGTTCCCACCCCCCCCCCCCGTTCCTGGGTGTCCTGCATGGGTTTTGGGTGAAGCCCCGAATGAGTGTTGTGAATACTCGCTTTGAGGGAGGGTGTTTTGTGCTTGCTCTTCAGTTCATCTCTTCGTTGGCTAAACAGTTCAGTGCACTGAACTCCTCTTTCTGTAGACTCTGTGCGCCTTTCTAAAAAGAATAAAAAGATTGTTTGGTGAACCAACATTTTACAACTGTGAAGAAACTATGGTGGATGAAACTGATACACAAATTAGTATTTTGTCTGATGAGCTGAAAAACTGTGAAGTTCCAGAAATCCCTCGGCTGTTAGGCCTTCCCTAGTACAATCTCAGTGTTGAGGATGCTGCGATGCTCCCTGGGAAAGCTCTGTAACCCAAAAACTGCCTCTGTTCTCCTTGGCCCACTGCGAACATGATCACAGTACTTTGAACTGAGTCTATGAATCTCTGTGGTGATGAGGCTCTTCACTAGGGCGTTCATTTGTGGAACACGGGTCCTACGTAACTGTATGGGAATGCAGTCGCTCTTTTAGGTGCACTGTAAGAAAGGGTAGGAGAGTACAGGGAGAGAGGTGGTGGGACCATATGAATTTGAAGTCTTTGATCAAATGCAAGTATCTGGGGGGCGGACAGTGAACAAAAGCAGGGCAGGGAAGTGACAAAAAAACCATCTGAAATGTAAATAGAATTATTTTTTTTTGGTTTGCATTGTTTTTGAAGCCTGGTAAATGTTTTCTCATAGGTGACAAACCCTTTTTCAGTCATGTAAGACAGCACACGGGATGATGGAGTTTTTCCAGGCTGCCAGAGTGTCTCTCTGTCTGGAGATAGATAGTTTATTGTCACGTATGACCTTTCAGTAATACACGATGGTAGCCCAGGGTGGCAATCTCAAAAGACCAAAAGAAACTGAGGACACTTGGATTATGCTGAAGAATTTGAACATCATTCTGCTTTTGTACACCAGCCACAAAGAACTGCAGCATTTCTTGGGTCAGATGAGGCGCAAAAAAGCAGTTTTCACTCTTTCATTAGTACCCCACCCTAGGCTGGATGCCTGTAATTTTACAGGAATACTCAGAATTGACCCGTGGCCATCCGTATTTTCTGTGAGAGCTCAGTGGAGGCAGGTAACGCTCCATCTTCAATCTACACTGAAATGGATTAGAAGTGACAAATGGTCTTTTCCAAAGAAAGTGTAAAGGTTTTCCTTCTTTAAGAAAATTTGTGAACAGCCTGCAGTCTGGGCCAAGGCCCCTCCAAAGACTTGCAGGAGCTCTGGCCAAGGATGGGGGGGGCACTGATTCTCCACTTCACTGCAATTTGTTGCCTCTTTGAAGAGCAGCTGTTGCCTTTGAAGTGAACTTTTCTGGGCAAATGAGTATCAACGGGTAGGGTGAGATTTTGGCTGCAGACCGGCAGCAGCAAATTCCCTTCACAGAGGGGACTCTGCTGGCAGAAGACTTGCAAGATGGGGGTTCAGCTGCTCCACCAGCCACTTCTCACTGAAAATACGCAACAAGTGGGGATGGAGCAGAGGCTTAACAGAGCTGCTCTGTGTTAACCTCCTCCTGGCCTGAAGTCCTTGGGGATGGTTGAGCTCGCTGCCCTGCCTGGCACCAACCCCTCGGTACACCTCTGAGCTGATCTGGAGCTCAGGTAAAGGCAGAGTTTCAAGTTCAGGCTAATCTGCCTCCGGCATAGGACAGGATGGCGTTTTGTGTAGGTTTGTCTGCGTTAGAACAAGCTTATTGGGCAGGGCTGGGTCATTCCAGAGAAGCACAGAGTCCCGCAAATGCTCAAATGTCTTATTACCCTTCTGCCACCTTTTGTTCCTACTCTTTTTTTCCTCATCCAGTATGTCTTTTTACTCTCTGCAGTGCATCCTTATTTTCTCGACACTTTTCATCCAACCTGCAACTGACCTCTGAATCCCAAACCACTCTCGCTGGCGGTTTGTGCTAATATTCAGGGCTATTCCCTGTCACTCCTGAGGATCTGGCGTGCGTCCCCCTTGCACCTGAGTGGCTGCTTCTGGCTGGGAGGGAGGTGGCACCACCACTGCAGGTAAATCCACTAGAGACTGGGAGCCAGAGCCTGACTTGTCCTGCCAGGTGCCTAAATCCCAACTGTCTGTCCTTAAAACTTTGGGTCATCTGTCACCCGTATCTGAAGGTGCCTCGCGTTCATCAGTACCTACTTTACGTTCTGTACCTACTTTGATATACATTCATCAGTACCTACTTTGATGGTTCTGAGGTGTCAAGGTCTGCCCAGAAGTACTGAGCTTGGCTGACTCGCTCCCGTGAGATCCTCCAGTTGGTAATCCTCAGGATTTCTCTTTTGCCCAGGCCAGGCAGCTTCAGCCTCCCTGTATTTGGGCTTTGCAGCTGCCACTGTAGGCATGTAATTCCCCTTATGAATTACAGTGAAAGTCCAGGTAACCTGGTTCAGACATTGGAAATACTACTGGGGGGGCCAAAGAATGAGAATTTGGACACTTGGGCAGGGAAAGTGTCACTCAATTATTTAGTTCAGTAGGATCATAAATTACTGAAAACCTGGCTCTATAATGCAAACTTTCAGGTGTATTTAGCTATGGATGTATATGGCTGTATGTCGTACGCTTTGCTGTGTACGACAGCCCTTTGGAAAGTGAAACCTGGAACCTGCCTGCTGGCTCTACTGATTTTTGGGTTTGCTTTGTACGGGGCAATTGCTAAAACAGATTTGTTCATGGATGTCAAGCGGTTCACACTACTGTGTTTTTATGCAGCATTTGACAAGTGCTGGACTAATAGACAAACAAAGCAGTCTTCATGACCACTCAAATCTGGCTTGACTAAGCACACCAGTGCTGAATAAAGTATATATGCATTGTTTTCAGACAGCTGTAATCCCTCTGCAGACTTCAGGGTAATTTAATCTTTTGACATGACTGTGCAACTCCTGTTATTTTTAGGCACATACATTAAGAGAAGAAAAGGTCCATTTAATCTGAAAACATATTAGCAAGTTTTCCTGCTTTCACAAATCTGAACCAGGTACCGCAGGGAATAAACTGAAGGTCGTTAACATATGATTGCTATTTGATGGCCAGAACGAAGCAGTTACGTACTCGCTCCTTACCGGCAGATACTGCAAAGCCAGTTGCTACTCTCGAAGATTGCCTCAGCAAAGATTAAAAACTCACTGCAACTTGTGCAAAATCATACCCAGACTCTCTGCTGATACCAGCTGTCTGCAATCCGTATGTGCAGTGGACCGCTGGGCATGTGGGTGAGCTGGTGGGGATGAGGGAAGGGCCCAAATTGGTGACGAAGGTGGCATGTTAGTGCCCTCCCCAATGACGCCTGAGGATGCTGAACTCGTCTGGCTCCTGTCCCTGGGGTTGCAGCCCGGGTAACTGTCACTGCTCGCTCTCCTGCTCTCCTCCTTCTCCTCCTCCCAGCCTCCTGAGTCACTCGGGTCAAGTGCCAATGGGGCCTGTCGGGCTACAGGACGAACCTGGTGGCTGTGAACGTGGCCCAGATGCTGGAGCTCAGGCTCCAAGTCTCCTCTTTGGCACAGCAGGGAGCTCCTGTATCGCTCACCCTGGTCCCTGTGCAAAGCTGTTTCCCTCCCCACCTCTAAAGGGCAGATGGGGTTACTAAAATCAAAGCAGTTTCCTGAAGGAGGTGAGGATTTAGTTTCCTACTGAAAATTCCTAGCAGCGTTATCCAACAGGCATTGGGACACGTGATAAAAACCAAGAAGGATGTTCAGGCCCTTCTGAATATTCCTAGCAGCGTTATCCAACAGGTGTTGGGACGCTATGAAAACCAAGGAGGATGCTGTTCAGGCCTCCAGAGACTCTTCCAGGCTTTGCTTGGGTGGGAAGGTGAGGTTATGCATGGCAGGCTTTGCTCATGACTGTCCTCTTTGAGAATAAACAGGGGAAGGCAAAGGGCAAAGTGAGAAAAAAACCCTTAAAGTGCTGCGTGTCATGGGGTGGACTGTTGCAGCTAGCCGATTGTTGATTGTTTGTTGAAAAGCCTCGCTAGCTGTGTTTGCTTTGGATACCACCAGTCACTGGGTCAGGACGGGGACTGTGAGTCATGCTCCTCCTCGCAGTGGAAAA